TGTGTCACCCACTGTGTGTGTGTGTGTGTCACCCACTATGTGTGTGTGTGTCACCCACTGTGTGTGTGTCACCCACTGTGTGTGTGCCACCCACTGTGTGTGTGTGTGTGTGTCACCCACTGTGTGTGTGTCACCCACTGTGTGTGTGTGTCACCCACTGTGTGTGTGTCACCCTGTGTGTGTGTGTCACCTACTGTGTGTGTGTCACCCACTGTGTGTGTGTGTGTGTCACCCACTGTGTGTGTGTGTGTGTCACCCACTGTGTGTGTGTCACCCACTGTGTGTGTGTGTGTGTGTCACCCACTGTGTGTGTGCGTGTCACCCACTGTGTGTGTGTCACCCTGTGTGTGTGTGTCACCCACTGTGTGTGTGTGTCAATCACTGTGTGTGTGTCACCCACTGTGTGTGTGTGTGTCACCCACTGTGTGTGTGTCACCCACTGTGTGTGTGTGTGTCACCCACTGTGTGTGTGTCACCCACTGTGTGTGTGTCACCCGCTGTGTGTGTGTCACCCACTGTGTGTGTGTGTGTCACCCACTGTGTGTGTGTGTCACCCACTGTGTGTGTGTGTGTCACCCACTGTGTGTGTGTGTCACCCACTGTGTGTGTCACCCACTGTGTGTGTGTGTGTGTCACCCACTGTGTGTGTCTCACCCACTGTGTGTGTGTCACCCACTGTGTGTGTGTGTCACCCACTGTGTGTGTGTGTGTCACCCACTGTGTGTATGTGTGTGTCACCCACTGTGTGTGTGTGTGTCACCCACTGTGTGTGTGTCACCCACTGTGTGTGTGTCACCCACTGTGTGTGTGTGTCACCCACTGTGTGTGTGTGTGTGTCACCCACTATGTGTGTGTGTGTCACCCACTGTGTGTGTGTCACCCACTGTGTGTGTGTGTGTGTGTCACCCACTGTGTGTGTGTCACCCACTGTGTGTGTGTGTCACCCACTGTGTGTGTGTCACCCTGTGTGTGTGTGTCACCTACTGTGTGTGTGTCACCCACTGTGTGTGTGTGTGTGTCACCCACTGTGTGTGTGTGTGTGTCACCCACTGTGTGTGTGTCACCCACTGTGTGTGTGTGTGTCACCCACTGTGTGTGTGCGTGTCACCCACTGTGTGTGTGTCACACTGTGTGTGTGTGTCACCCACTGTGTGTGTGTGTCAATCACTGTGTGTGTGTCACCCACTGTGTGTGTGTGTGTCACACACTGTGTGTGTGTCACCCACTGTGTGTGTGTGTGTGTCACCCACTGTGTGTGTGTCACCCACTGTGTGTGTGTCACCCGCTGTGTGTGTGTCACCCACTGTGTGTGTGTGTGTCACCCACTGTGTGTGTGTGTCACCCACTGTGTGTGTGTGTGTCACCCACTGTGTGTGTGTGTCACCCACTGTGTGTGTCACCCACTGTGTGTGTGTGTGTGTCACCCACTGTGTGTGTCTCACCCACTGTGTGTGTGTCACCCACTGTGTGTGTGTGTCACCCACTGTGTGTGTGTGTGTCACCCACTGTGTGTGTGTGTGTGTCACCCACTGTGTGTGTGTGTGTCACCCTGTGTGTGTGTGTCACCCACTGTGTGTGTGTCACCCTGTGTGTGTGTGTCACCCACTGTGTGTGTGTCACCCACTGTGTGTGTGTGTGTCACCCACTGTGTGTGTGTGTGTGTCACCCACTGTGTGTGTGTCACCCACTGTGTGTGTGTCACCCTGTGTGTGTGTGTCACCCACTGTGTGTGTGTGTGTGTCACCCACTGTGTGTGTGTGTGTCACCCACTGTGTGTGTGTGTGTCACCCACTGTGTGCGTGTGTGTGTGTCACCCACTGTGTGTGTGTGTGTCACCCACTGTGTGTGTGTCACCCACTGTGTGTGTGTGTGTGTCACCCACTGTGTGTGTGTGTCACCCACTGTGTGTGTGTCACCCACTGTGTGTGTGTGTGTCACTCACTGTGTGTGTGTGTGTCACCCACTGTGTGTGTGTCACCCACTGTGTGTGTGTCACCCACTGTGTGTGTGTCACCCACTGTGTGTGTGTGTGTCACCCACTGTGTGTGTGTCACCCACTGTGTGTGTGTCACCCACTGTGTGTGTGTGTGTGTCACCTACTGTGTGTGTGTGTGTCACCCTGTGTGTGTGTGTGTCACCCTGTGTGTGTGTCACCCACTGTGTGTGTGTGTGTCACCCACTGTGTGTGTGTGTGTCACCCACTGTGTGTGTCACCCAATGTGTGTGTGTGTGTGTCACCCACTGTGTGTGTGTGTCACCCTGTGTGTGTGTCACCCACTGTGTGTGTGTGTGTGTCACCCACTGTGTGTGTGTGTGTCACCCACTGTGTGTGTGTCACCCACTGTGTGTGTGTGTCACCCACTGTGTGTCACCCACTGTGTGTGTGTGTGTGTGTCACCCACTGTGTGTGTGTGTGTGTGTCACCCACTGTGTGTGTGTCACCCACTGTGTGTGTGTGTGTGTCACCCACTGTGTGTGTCACCCACTGTGTGTGTGTCACCCACTGTGTGTGTGTGTGTGTCACCCACTGTGTGTGTGTGTGTCACCCACTGTGTGTGTGTGTGTGTCACCCACTGTGTGTGTGTCACCCACTGTGTGTGTGTGTGTCACCCTGTGTGTGTGACCCACTGTGTGTGTCACCCACTGTGTGTGTGTCACCCACTGTGTGTGTGTGTGTCACCCACTGTGTGTGTGTGTGTCACCCTGTGTGTGTGTCACCCACTGTGTGTGTGTCACCCACTGTGTGTGTGTCACCCACTGTGTGTGTGTGTGTCACCCACTGTGTGTGTGTCACCCACTGTGTGTGTCACCCACTGTGTGTGTCACCCACTGTGTGTGTGTCACCCACTGTGTGTGTGTGTGTGTGTCACCCACTGTGTGTGTGTCACCCACTGTGTGTGTGTCACCCACTGTGTGTGTGTCACCCACTGTGTGTGTGTCACCCACTGTGTGTGTGTCACCCACTGTGTGTGTGTCACCCACTGTGTGTGTGTGTGTCACCCACTGTGTGTGTGTGTGTGTCACCCACTGTGTGTGTGTCACCCACTGTGTGTGTGTCACCCACTGTGTGTGTCACCCACTGTGTGTGTGTGTCACCCACTGTGTGTGTGTCACCCACTGTGTGTGTGTGTGTGTGTCACCCACTGTGTGTGTGTGTGTGTCACCCACTGTGTGTGTGTCACCCACTGTGTGTGTGTCACCCACTGTGTGTGTGTGTCACCCACTGTGTGTGTGTGTGTCACCCACTGTGTGTGTGTGTGTCACCCACTGTGTGTGTGTGTGTCACCCACTGTGTGTGTGTCACCCTGTGTGTGTGTCACCCACTGTGTGTGTCACCCACTGTGTGTGTGTGTGTGTGTCACACTGTGTGTGTGTGTGTGTGTCACCCTGTGTGTGTGTCACCCACTGTGTGTGTGTGTGTCACCCACTGTGTGTGTGTGTCACCCTGTGTGTGTGTCACCCACTGTGTGTGTGTCACCCACTGTGTGTGTGTGTGTGTCACCCACTGTGTGTGTCACCCTGTGTGTGTGTCACCCACTGTGTGTGTGTGTCACCCACTGTGTGTGTCACCCACTGTGTGTGTGTCACCCACTGTGTGTGTGTCACCCACTGTGTGTGTCACCCTGTGTGTGTGTCACCCACTGTGTGTGTGTGTGTCACCCACTGTGTGTGTGTCACCCTGTCTGTGTCACCCACTGTGTGTGTGTGTGTCACCCACTGTGTGTGTGTGTGTGTCACCCACTGTGTGTGTGTCACCCACTGTGTGTGTGTGTGTGTGTCACCCACTGTGTGTGTGTGTGTGTCACCCACTGTGTGTGTGTCACCCACTGTGTGTGTGTCACCCACTGTGTGTGTGTGTCACCCACTGTGTGTGTGTGTGTGTCACCCACTGTGTGTGTGTGTGTCACCCACTGTGTGTGTGTCACCCTGTGTGTGTGTCACCCACTGTGTGTGTCACCCACTGTGTGTGTGTGTGTGTGTGTCACACTGTGTGTGTGTGTGTGTGTCACCCTGTGTGTGTGTCACCCACTGTGTGTGTGTGTGTCACCCACTGTGTGTGTGTGTCACCCTGTGTGTGTGTCACCCACTGTGTGTGTGTCACCCACTGTGTGTGTGTGTGTGTCACCCACTGTGTGTGTCACCCTGTGTGTGTGTCACCCACTGTGTGTGTGTGTCACCCACTGTGTGTGTCACCCACTGTGTGTGTGTCACCCACTGTGTGTGTGTCACCCACTGTGTGTGTCACCCTGTGTGTGTGTCACCCACTGTGTGTGTGTGTGTCACCCACTGTGTGTGTGTCACCCTGTCTGTGTCACCCACTGTGTGTGTGTGTGTCACCCACTGTGTGTGTGTGTGTGTGTCACCCACTGTGTGTGTGTCACCCACTGTGTGTGTGTGTGTGTGTCACCCACTGTGTGTGTGTGTGTGTCACCCACTGTGTGTGTGTCACCCACTGTGTGTGTGTCACCCACTGTGTGTGTGTGTCACCCACTGTGTGTGTGTGTGTCACCCACTGTGTGTGTGTGTGTCACCCACTGTGTGTGTGTCACCCTGTGTGTGTGTCACCCACTGTGTGTGTCACCCACTGTGTGTGTGTGTGTGTGTCACACTGTGTGTGTGTGTGTGTGTCACCCTGTGTGTGTGTCACCCACTGTGTGTGTGTGTGTCACCCACTGTGTGTGTGTGTCACCCTGTGTGTGTGTCACCCACTGTGTGTGTGTCACCCACTGTGTGTGTGTGTGTGTCACCCACTGTGTGTGTCACCCACTGTGTGTGTCACCCTGTGTGTGTGTCACCCACTGTGTGTGTGTGTGTCACCCACTGTGTGTGTGTCACCCTGTCTGTGTCACCCACTGTGTGTGTGTGTGTCACCCTGTGTGTGTGTGTGTGTGTCACCCACTGTGTGTGTGTCACCCACTGTGTGTGTGTGTGTCACCCACTGTGTGTGTGTCACCCTGTCTGTGTCACCCTGTGTGTGTGTGTCGCCCGCCGCGTTGCAGCCGTGGAGGACGAGCCGGGGGGCTCCGTCTCCGTCTCCGTCTCGGCGGCCCCCATGGACGGCGCCGCCAACTCGGAGCTCCTCCGCTTCCTCGCCGCCGCCCTCGGCGTGCGCAGGGGGGACCTGGCCCTTGACAAGGTGGGCGACGTCGGGGGGCGACGTCAGGGCGACGTCAGGAAGCGACGTCAGGGCGACGTCAGGGGGCGACGTCAGGGCGACGTCAGGGCGACGTCGGGGGGCGACGTCAGGGCGACGTCAGGGCGACGTCAGGGCGACGTCAGGAAGCGACGTCGGGAAGCGACGTCAGGGCGACGTCGTTATCGGGCCCAGCGGCTCTGCAGGCTAGACAACCGCCCTGTGAAGTCGCCACCACCACCACCACCACGTGGAATGAGAACAAAATAATGAATTGGTAAAATAATATAAAATATAACGCGATAAAATTCTCACGGCGTTTCGGCCACAACACAAGCGGCCTTCATCAGGTGAAGGGAACGAGACTGTCTCGTTCCCTTCACCTGATGAAGGCCGCTTGTGTTGTGGCCGAAATGCCGTGAGAATTTTATCGTGTTATATTTTATATTATTTTATCAATTCATTATTTTATTCTCATTCTACGTGGTGGTGGCGGTGACTTTACCGAAAGAACCAACGACGAGAATTAATATTGTTTTATATTGTTATTATTTTATTGTTTCCCTTCTAACGCGGTGACTTTACCGAAAGAACCAAAGACGATGGATCCTTGCAGTCACGACGGCTTTAAATCGAAATTTAACCACCCTGTAGTTAGTGTGATGCGTGCCCCCCTCCCCCTCCCCCCAGATGTTGACGACCTCGCCTGGTACGCAGGAGGTCGTGGGTTCGATCCCGGACCCTCACGATGCCTGTAGCCACTGTAGCTCGTGAGATGTTGACTACCTCGCCTGGTACGCAGGAGTGCGTGGGTTCGATCCCGGACTCTGACGATGCCTGTAGCTCACTGTAGCTCGTGAGATGTTGACTACCTCGCCTGGTACGCAGGAGGTCGTGGGTTCGATCCCCGACCCTGACGACACCTGTAGCTCACTGTAGCTCGTGAGATGTTGACTACCTCGCCTGGTACGCAGGAGTGCGTGGGTTCGATCCCGGACTCTGACGATGCCTGTAGCTCACTGTAGCTCGTGAGATGTTGACTACCTCGCCTGGTACGCAGGAGGTCGTGGGTTCGATCCCGGACCCTGACGAATACTCCCTGGCCCCCTGCGGTATATTTTCTATACAGCATAATTGCATCATTATTAAAGGCAGCGCCATGTAACGTTATAGTTACTTTTTTCCCACGGAAGACAACAGCAATGTGTGTGTGTGTGCCCATGTTCACCACCAGCACCCTGTGTCTGTGTGAGCGGTGGTGCAGCGGTTAGCGCCACCCTGCGCTGTGAACCCGTCGACCCGGGTTCAATTCCCGCTCATGGTCGACGCCGGTGACCATTATCTGAACCGGTCCTGGGCCTCCCCCAAGGATCGACTCGGCCTCGAATGAGTGCCTGGTGCGGTGTGCAGTAAACATCGCCCCTGGGGAGACAAAGGCGGCCGGGCGTGGTGCTGGCCACCCACCCCCTCGTGTACCGTTACCGGCCTTCATAGGTGCTCGCTAACAGCACTTGCCCCTACAGTCTGTTAAGGCTATATGGGGGATCTTTGTGCGTGCGTGTGTGTGGTTAATGCAGAGACTTGATGATTCCTCTGCTAATTGGCCTTGCCTCTGTCTGTCTCTGTCTCTGTCTGTCTGTGTCTCTGTCTCTGTCTGTCTCTGTCTGTCTCTGTCTGTCTCTGTCTGTCTGTGTCTCTGTCTGTCTCTGTCTGTCTCTGTCTGTCTGTGTCTCTGTCTGTCTGTGTCTCTGTCTGTCTGTGTCTCTGTCTCTGTCTGTCTCTATCTCTCTCTGCCTCTGTCTGTCTCTGTCTGTCTCTGTCTGTCTCTGTCTGTCTCTGTCTCCCTCTGTCTCTGTCTGTCTCTGTCTGTCTGTGTCTCTGTCTGTCTGTGTCTCTCTCTGTCTCTGTCTCTCTCGGTCTCTGTCTGTCTGTGTCTGCCTCTGTCTGTCTCTGTCTGTCTCTGTCTCTGTCTCCCTCTGTCTCTGTCTGTCTCTGTCTGTCTCTCTCGGTCTCTGTCTGTCTGTGTCTCTGTCTGTCTCTGTCTGTCTCTGTCTCTCTCGGTCTCTGTCTGTCTGTGTCTCTGTCTATCTGTGTCTCTGTTTGTCTCTGTTTGTCTGTGCCTATCTCTGTCTGTCTCTGTCTGTGTCTCTGTCTGTCTGTGTCTGTCTCTGTCTGTCTCTGTCTCTGTCTGTCTCTGTCTCTCTCTGTCTGTCTGTGTCTCTGTCTGTCTGTGTCTCTGTCTGTCTCTGTCTCTCTCTGTCTGTGTCTCTGTCTGTCTGTGTCTGTCTCTGTCTGTCTCTGTCTGTCTCTGTCTCTCTCTGTCTGTCTGTGTCTCTGTCTGTCTGTGTCTCTGTTTGTCTCTGTCTCTGTCTGTCTGTCTCTGTCTCTCTCTGTCTGTGTCTCTGTCTGTCTGTGTCTCTGTTTGTCTCTGTCTCTCTCTGTCTGTCTCTGTCTCTCTCTGTCTGTGTCTGTCTCTGTCTCTGTCTGTCTCTGTCTCTCTCTGTCTGCCTCTGTCTGTCTCTGTCTGTCTCTCTCGGTCTCTGTCTGTCTGTGTCTCTGTCTGTCTGTGTCTCTCTCTGTCTGTCTCTGTCTGTCTCTGTCTGTCTCTCTCGGTCTCTGTCTGTCTGTGTCTCTGTCTGTCTCTGTCTCTCTCTGTTTGTCTCTGTCCCTCTCTGTCTGTCTCTGTCTGTCTCTGTCTCTCTCTGTCTGTCTCTCTCTGTCTGTGTCTGTCTCTGTCTGTCTGTATCTCTGTCTGTCTCTGTCTCTCTCTGTCTGTCTCTGTCTCTCTCTGTCTGTGTCTCTGTCTGTCTGTGTCTCTGTCTGTCTCTGTCTCTCTCTGTCTCTCTCTGTCTGTCTCTGTCTGTCTGTGTCTCTGTCTATCTGTGTCTCTGTTTGTCTCTGTTTGTCTGTGCCTATCTCTGTCTGTCTCTGTCTGTGTCTCTCTCTGTCTGTCTGTGTCTCTGTCTGTCTGTGTCTCTGTCTGTCTCTGTCTCTCTCTGTCTGTCTCTGTCTCTCTCTGTCTGTGTCTCTGTCTGTGTCTCTGTCTCTCTCTGTCTGTGTCTCTGTCTGTCTGTGTCTCTGTCTGTCTGTGTCTCTGTTTGTCTCTGTCTCTCTCTGTCTGTCTCTGTCTCTCTCTGTCTGCCTCTGTCTGTCTCTGTCTCTCTCTGTCTGTCTCTGTCTCTCTCTGTCTCTCTCTGTCTGTCTGTGTCTCTGTCTGTATGTGTCTCTGTCTGTCTGTGTCTCTGTCTGTCTCTGTCTCTCTCTGTCTGTCTGTGTCTCTGTCTGTATGTGTCTCTGTCTGTCTGTGTCTCTGTTTGTCTCTGTCTCTCTCTGTCTGTCTCTGTCTGTCTCTGTCTGTCTGTGTCTCTGTCTGTCTCTGTCTCTCTCTGTCTGTCTCTGTCTCTCTCTGTCTCTCTCTGTCTGTCTCTGTCCCTCTCTGTCTCTCTCTGTCTCTCTCTGTCTCTCTCTGTCTCTCTCTGTCTGTCTCTGTCTCTCTCTGTCTATCTGTGTCTCTCTCTGTCTGTCTCTGTCTGTCTCTGCCTGTGTCTCCCTCCGCGTGTCTCCCCGCAGGGCGCTCGCTCCAGGCAGAAAGTGGTGCGCCTGGCCGCTGGGCGTCTCGCGCCAGACGCGGTGCACCAGCGTCTGCAGAGCGCCCTCGGGAACACGTGACGACTGCCGCCGCGAGAAATCCGAAGAGCCGGCAAGCTCTTGATTGGACGCTTTCGTTTCGGTGAAGTCATCACGTAGCAGTTAGAAGGAGAAAGAAGCGGAGCAACATCGCGACGTTTCCGATCGCTACACGAGCGAGCTTCATCGGGTGGGACAACCCACGGCGAAATGTTTTTTGTCCTCGCTGTGGCTGTCACACCTGATGGAGATCGCTCGTGTGATGAGATCGGAGCGCCGTGAAAGGTCTTCGTGTCGCAGACGGAATCCCAGGTCGGGCGGGGGTGGGATAGGGGTGGAGGGGCTGTCAGCGTTAGAGGTGCGTCTTGACGCCGACACGGCCCAGCCAGCACCGGATTATCCCAGCAGCTAGAGTCTCCACAAGTGCTACGGGCCCCGCGCTTTCAAGGGCCACGCGCGGAAGGCTTTCGAGGCGACCAATTCCGGTTCAGTGATTCCGCATTTGCACCATTACTAGAGTACTGGACCACGGCTGCGGCTGCTGACTGCTGCGGCTGACTGCTGCTGCTGCTGCTGCTTCGGCCTCTGCTGCTGACTGCTGCTGCTGCTGCTTCGGCCTCTGCTGCTGCTGCTGCTGCTGACTGCTGACTGCTGCTGCTGACTGCTGCTTCGTCTGCTGCTGCTGCTGCTTCGGCCTCTGCTGCTGACTGCTGCTTCGTCTGCTGCTGCTGCTGCTTCGTCTGCTGCTGCTGCTGCTTCGGCCTCTGCTGCTGCTGCTGCTGCTGACTGCTGCTGCTGACTGCTGCTTCGTCTGCTGCTGCTGCTGCTTCGGCCTCTGCTGCTGCTGCTGCTTCGGCTTCTGCTGCTGACTGCTGCTTCGTCTGCTGCTGCTGCTGCTTCGGCCTCTGCTGCTGCTGCTGCTTCGTCTGCTGCTGCTGCTGCTGCTTCGGCCTCTGCTGCTGCTGCTGCTGACTGCTGACTGCTGCTGCTGACTGCTGCTGCCGCAGCTGCTGCTGCTGCTGCTTCGGCCTCTGCTGCGGCTGCTGCTCCTGCTGCTGTTTCGACCTCTGCTGCTGCTGCTTCTGCTTCGACTGCTGCTGCTGCTGCCGCAGCTGCTGTTGCTGCTTCGGCCTCTGCTGGGGCTGCTGCTGCTGCTGCTGGAGCTGCTGCTGCTGCTGACTGCTGCTGCTGCTGCTGCTTTGGCTGCTGCTGACTGCTGCTGCTTCGGCCTCTGCTGTGGCTGCTGCAAGAATTTGTGCATCCTCCGGGCTCTGGAGACCACCTGGAGAAGATTCGAGACGCACGTTGACAGCGATGCCGAGCGAGCGGGAGACCCTTTGACTTGTTCAAGCCATCGACGTTACATCCGTTATCACGTTCACAGTGCGGTATGAAGCGTTCTCTCTCCGTTACAAACCATAGTCCCGTGTAAGTGTTGACATTTGTTTGAGGGACCCTCTGTGTGAACGTGTCGTTGAACCCGTCCACCGCCCGACACGGCCGTCTTGCAAGGGGTTTGCAACTTGAGGTTTATCACGTAAGGTTGGTCACGTGAACAGAACATTGGCACGTTCTGTTCACGTAGGCAGGGCCAGCCTGAATGTTTCTAACCGGCGAAGATGTTCCATTAGGGGGGGGGGTGTCCACGTTTCGCAAGCGTAGAGAAGGGAGGGAATGACCGTGGCCGAGAAGACCTGAAGCTTAGTGCGGAGCGACAGACCAGTCAGCTTCCACACAGCGTTACGCAACCGATGAAAAGATATTGCCGCTCGACTGATTTGAAGTGAGACCTCTGCTGTCAAACCGGAGCCGGTCATGAGCACACTGCTCAGGTATGGAAAACTCTCCACTCTCTCCACAACTGACACATCACAGACACACACACAACAACTGCTATTCGCCACGGCGCCTGTGCCAGGCTAGGTGCACTTTGAGGCCACGTGAAGTGTCGAAGGCTCGCTGGCAGGAGGTCACGGGGCAGACCCAGCAGGTGCCACGGGTTGACTGACTGAGATGAGTGGCTGATGCACCACCTGTACCCCCTACTGTGCCAGACACAAACACACAGACACACACACACAGATGCACACACAGATACACACAAACACACAGACACACACACACAAACACACAGATACATCATCCTCTGGGATGCATTCCAAGACGGCACGAAGAGAGAAACAAATTAAATAAACTTCTACACATTTGCCACCAACACAAATATGCTCGGTCAGGAGATTCTTCAACTCTCTTTGGCTGAGTCACGGAAACCTGAAGTTTGAGTCGCATGGCTCAGCACTTGGGGCTATGTGAAGTTATAAATAAACCACCCCAGTGTGTGTACGTGTGTGTCTGTGTAGGTGACTAAAGCACAGCAGGTTGGCACAGTAGGGGGCACAGGTGGTGCATCAGCCAGTCATCTCAGTCATCTTAGTCAGTCGACCCGTGGCACCTGGGTCTGCCCCGTGACCTGCCAGCGGGAGTTCGACACTTCACGTGGCCTCAAGGTGCACATAGCCTGGCACACGCGTCGTGGTGACGTCACCGCCACTTAGTGGCGAATGGCGGTTGTTGTTGTTGTGTGTGTGTCTGTGTGTGTGTACACGTGTCTGTGTGTGTGTATGTGTGTGTATGTTTGTGTAAGTTTGTGTAGGTGTAAGTGTGTGTGTAGGTGTGCGTAGGTGTGTGTAGGTGTGTGTGTAGGTGTGTGTAGGTGTGCTTATGACCGGCTCCAGTTTAACAGCAGAGGTCTCACTCCGAATCAGTCGAGCGGCAATATCTTTTCATCGCTTGCATAACGCTGTGTGGAAGCTACCTGGTCTGTCGCTCCGCAGTAAGCTTCAGGTCTTCTCGGCCACGGTCATTCCCTCCCTTCTCTACGCTTGCGAAACGTGGACCCCCCTAATGGAACATCTTCGCCAGTTAGAAACATTTAGGCTGGCCTGCCTACGGTCCATCCTGGGGTTAACCAGACTGGATTGTGTGAGGAGCTCACAAATCTTTGAAAGATCTGGGCAAGGTCCCATCGGTGAGCTCCTCCGGCGGGCAAGGCTGCGATGGCTGGGTCATGTAGCACGCATGCCCAGCCACCGCATGCCGAAACAGCTTTTGTTCGGCCGGATTGAGGGGGCTAAACGGGCGCGGCACGGGCTAGATAAGAGATGGAGTGATGTGGTACAGGAGGACGTGGAGCTGAGTGGACTTGCCGATGACTGGTACCAGCGGTGTCAAGATCGGCCTCTGTGGAGGAGGCTCGTGAAGAACGCTACTGGGCAGTTGGAGGTAGTCGCCCTCCAACAACAACGGAGGGCGGAGGAGCGACGCTCACAACAACGAGCGGAGCGCCGGGTGGCTAAAGCACAGCAGGTTGGCACAGTAGGGGGCACAGGTGGTGCATCAGCCAGTCATCTTAGTCGACCCGTGGCACCTGGGTCTGCCCCGTGACCTCCTGCCAGCGGGCGTTCGACACTTCACGTGGCCTCAGGGTGCACATAGCCTGGCACAAGCGTCGTGGTGACGTCACCGCCACTTAGTGGTGAATGGCGGTTGTTGTTGTAGGTGTAGGTGTGTGTAGGTGTGTGTGTGTACACGTGTCTGTGTGTGTATGTGTGTAAGTGTGTGTGTAGGGGTGATGGGGCAGTTGTGGAGAAAGTGGAGAGTGTCCCATACCTCGTGACCGGCCCAGGTTTGACAGCAGAGGTCTCACTCCGAATCAGTCGAGCGGCAATATCTTTTCATCGGCTGCGTGACGCTGTGTGGAAGCTGCCTGGTCTATCGCTCCGCACTAAGCTTCAGGTCTTCTCGGCCACGGTCATTCCCTTTCTCTTTGCTTCTATTCGGTAAAGGCACGTAGTAGGTAAAAAATAAAATAACAAAATTCTCACGACGTTTCGGCCACAACACAAGTGGCCTTCATCAGGTGAAGGGACTGGACTGTCCAGAGGACAGCGTTGGAGTGAAGACAGCCAAGCCCAGGTCGCGTCCTTTAAGCTGTGTGGGAGGAAACAAAACGCCTTGACAAAGGAATTAGCATAACAATGATGTACTGGACCGGCATGGTGGTGGGGGGGGGGGAGTTTACATGATGTTGGTGTGAAGGGAAATAAGCTGCTGTGAAAGTTTGGGATACCACTACTTGAATAAATATACCATACCATTGAAAATTAGTTTAATGTTTGGTTTGATTTAGAACATCTTCCCAATGATTGCTTAATTTGAAACCATCCTCTCAGTTGAAATTGTGTCTGTGTTTGTAAATCTGAATTGCCTCGTGCACAAATCTCTGATAAAAACCCGTGGGTTTGCGGAGAACTTTGGTATCGGAGAAAATTATATCGTGATCACCCACAGCGTTGTAACAGTGATCAGCTACGGCAGAAGAATTCGTTCTGCCGTGTTTCAAATCTGATTTGTGCTCGCGAATTCAGGTTATGCCCTTCTCTACGCTTGCGAAAAGTGGACCCCTCTAATGGAACATCTTCGCCCATTAGAAACATTTAGGCTGGCCTGCTTATGATCCGATCTGGTTTTAACCTGCAGGCTGGATTGTGAGGAGCTCACAAATCATTTAAAGATCTGGATAAAATTCGATTTAAAGCTTTCGTGACTGCATGAATGCCACTTGTGATGAAGGCCGCATGTGTTGTGGCCGAAACGTCGTGAGAATATTATTGTGTTATTTTATTTTATCAATTTATTATTTTATTCTCATTCTACGTGACTTTACCGAAAGAACCAAAGAAGATCTGGATAAAGTCCCATCGGTGAGCTCCTCCGGCGGGCAAGGCTGCGTTGGCTGGGTCATGTAGTCCGCATGCCCAGCCACCGCATACCTAAACAGCTGTTGTTCGACCGGATCGAGGGGGCTAAACGGGCGCGGCACGGGCTAGAGAAGAGATGGAGTGATGTGGTACAGGAGGACGTGGAGCTGAGCGGACTTGCCGATGACCGGTACCAGCGGTGTCAAGATCGGCCTCTGTGGAGGAGGCTCGTGAAGGATGCTACTGGGCAGTTGGAGGCAGTCGCCCTCCAACAACAACGGAGGGCGGAGGAGCGACGCTCACAACAACGAGCGGAGCGCCGGGTGACTAAAGCACAGCACGTTGGCACAGTAGGGGGTACAGGTGGTGCATCGGCCACTCATCTCAGTCAGTCGACCCATGGGACCTGGGTCTGTCCTGCGAGCGGGTGTTCGACACTTCACGTGGCCTCAACGTGCACCTAGCCTGGCACAAACGCCGTGGTGACGTCACCATCGATTCGTGGGGAATGGCGGTTGTTGTGTGTCTGTGCGTGTGGTGCATACTACACTACACACTACTATACACTCCTATACACTACACTATACACTACACTACACACTACTATACACTACACTACACACTACTATACACTCCTCTATACACTAGACACTACACTACACACTACTATACACTACACTACACACTACTATACACTCCTATACACTACACTATACACTACACTACACACTACTATACACTACACTATACACTACTATACACTACACTACATACTACTATACACTACACTATACACTACACACTACTATACACTACACTACACACTACTATACACTACACTATA